TGGTTACTCTTCTCTCTCTTCATAGGTGAGTGTTGGAACAGAGATAAAGTCTTATTTAACCCGCTGTATTAGCCAGAGATTTCATAACTGGAGGTTTGATTGTGTAAGGCAGCAATCGTTGTGATCTATGAAGACATTTGGTCATGTTTTATCTCAAACTGATCAAAGATGACAGGAAATTGAAGACCCTCCGTTGAGTCTCTTAATGTTAAAATCTCCTGCAGACTAACTGACATGAATAATTCTCATTTTGCAGCCCTGGGCTCCATGAACAGCATAAAGCCAGAAAGAAGTGAAGAACATGTTGCAGAGGGCAGAAACATCAGCCTGACATGTAAATATGAGGGGACTATCTACAATATCCAGTGGTACCGACAATACCAGAGATCCAGACCAGAGTTCCTGCTCTCCATCACAGAGGCAGGAGGGATCCATCCCACTGAATCTGATTTCTCTGCTCACATTGACAAAACAGAGAAACGAGTTGATCTGGAGATCATCTCAGCTAAAGTGACAGACTCTGCTGTGTACTACTGTGCTCTGACGCCCACAGTGACAGGAAACACCTACACTCTGTACAAAAACCTTTGGAGCACAGACAACACAATACTGCACAACATCCACCAGAGGGAGTCTCTCTCTGATAAACATCAATAGTTTGTGATGATACAATCATTTAGTTTACCTGCTTGATCATTTCTAAAGGTTTATGTCAGGTATATAAATGTATGAACAATTGTGCACTACCATACAAACACATGTACTGCCTTTGATTCACATCAACAGGTTAACATGTTTAACTCAATCAGTTAATCTGACCTGTTATCACAGATTAAACATAAAATGTAGTCTCCATGAATTTAAAATAAGTGTAAAAAAAAAGTAATTTTCTGTCAGTCTGTGATTTCATGTGGTGTACCACAGGGTTCAATCCTAGGTCCTCTCACTTTGTCATTGGATTCAGTTTATCTCCAAGCCCAATTTGATGAAAGGTTCTATTGGAACAGCAGCTTGTGTTGTGGTGTTCAAGACCTTTTAAATGTCGGATCTGAAGAAATATTTGTAATAGATTAAGATCATTTTAAACAGATTTCTCTCTCGATGAAGCACCTCTCACTAGTGATGGGAATTATGGCTCTTTGAAGGGAGCCGGATCTTATGGCTCCGTTCCTTTCAAAGAGCCGTTCAAAAGAGCCGTTCAAAAGAGCCGTTTTTTTAAGGTTACTAGGTTTATCTGCAAAATAATCACCAGGATAATGATTGACTGTATTGCCAGACCTAATGTCAATAATCGGCATTGTAAACATGACACAAGGTGGCGCCATATCCATGTCATCATGTCAGTGAATGTACTTTGAATTTACCCTCTGTATGTGTTAAGTAAATAAAGTTGCCTTGCCTTGAATGAAATTCATGCAACTCTTAATATTAGATACTGTGTTTTTAAGTGGCGATGGAGATTATTTGTTGATCCTGCTTTAAAGGATATTTTGCCTTTACAAATGGTGCGCTTTATCACTGCCTGGGTTTTGGTTGAAGTGAATCCAAATGCTGCTGCGTTTCCGCGTTTGGCTCATTCACCATCCGAAAAACACGTTGGCTACCTGTCCTGTACCACTTGTTATGACTTCTCTCTCTCGCGTATTCCGTTAAGACCCACCCCATCTCACTCCTCGTGCTGAAACCTACCAAACAGAGTAGGGGCGGATCTTCACAGAATACGTTTGGGGAACAAAATCAAGCTTTTTAAAAGGCGAGTGGATTTTGGCAGGCAGTGAGTGCGGACCAACGATTGAACGATAACAAGAACGGCTCTCACAAAGTAGGACTCGGTTCCCCTCGTTCGTACCAAAGAGCCGTTCAAAAGAATCGGCTCGTTCGCGACCGACACATCACTACCTCTCACTAATATGACTTCACGTTAACGCCCGTCATTGTTATTATTACGTTTTTATTTACTGACTGATCAAACACTTTAAATCACCTCTCTCAATAAACTGGTACACATCACACACTCAAAATTTGATTGCTTTTGTTCTTATCTTTATAAAATAAGTTACTCTGGTGGTCTGTGATTTCATGTGGTGTACCACAGGGTTCAATCCTAGGTCCTCTGACTTTTTATTTACAGACTGCCTTTGGATCTGTTACCCAGGAGGAAGTGTAACTGAGAGAAGTGAAATACAGATCTAAGAGGAGACTGTTCCTGAACTATAGAAGAGAGAGGAACTTCCATATTCACCAGAGTTCAACGCAGACCATTATCATCATCACCTTCATTCAACATGCTGTCATTAGACTATTATTTACATTCCCTACTGTTAGTTTCCATTCTAAGAGGTACGTAACATTCTGCATGAAAACGTTAACTTCTAATGTTGATAAAATGTGATCTATTAACTGAGTCTTTTGAATTACTCCTCTCTTCAGGGGTCAGCTGTGAAGATCTCACTGCATTACAGAAAGAAGAGTTCAGTCCAGAAGGCAGCTCTGTTACTCTGTCCTACAGATACTCCAAAACTATAACAGGTAGTGATGATTTCTTCTGGTATCGACAATATCCAGGAAAACAACCAGAGTTTCTTCTCTACATCTCAGGAGTTATTTTTATTCTATCAAAGATTCAGAAATCAGACACAAAGTTCTCTTCTAAACTGTCTGAAGGAAAGCAACGAGTGGATCTGAGCATCTCCTCTGCTGCAGTGACAGACTCTGCTGTGTTCTACTGTGCTGTGAGGCCCACAGTGACAGGAAACACCAACACTCTGTACACAAACACCAGCTAACACACTGACAAGCTGCTGGAAGCCTTTTCTCCACACTGTTGTACTGAGCTGTTCACCTCCACTAGAGGGCCACATTATCAAGTAGGCGGTGCACGTCTTCTGCACTGTGTTCAACCATCCAGTCAATAAGAAGTGCTGCTGTGAAGAGAACCATCCTCACACTGAATGCTGAACATCAGCTACTTCCTGCTGCTGATTTAAACCTTGTTGTAGAGATGGAACATTGGCTGTGGATTATTCTTGCTGCTCTCTCCTTTGGTAAGATAGAAACTACAACATGTTTCTAGGTAACTGTTTAAAGCTACTGATTGTTCTCCTTTAATCCATCATCTTTATTGATTCATCTCTTCCTCTGCATGGTCTCTTCTTCCCCAGAGTGTAAAGGACAAGACACAGTGACCCAGCCAGCAGGAGATGTCAGCACTACTGAAGGAGACACAGTTACACTTGGCTGCACATTTCAGACATCTAATACAGCCTATCTGTTCTGGTACAAACAAGAAGTCAATGGTTACCCAAAGTACATGCTGATGCGTTACTCAAGAACTGGAGATAATGCTGAAGAGTTCAAGAAAGACAGATTTGATGCTGCACTCAACAAGACATCAGTTCCTCTGCAGATCTCCTCTGCTGCAGTGACAGACTCTGCTGTGTACTACTGTGCTCTGCAGCCCACAGTGACAGGAAACACCAACACTCTGTACAAAAACCTTTGGAGCAAAGACAACACAATACTGCACAGCATCCACCTGAGGGAGTCTCTCTCTGTCAGACTTCAGCAGTTTGTGATGATACAGTAATGTAATTTACCTGCTTGATATTTTGAATTCTATGTACAATTGTGCACTAACATACAAACACATGTACTGCCTTTGATTCACATCAACAGGTTCAAATGTTTAACTCAATAAGGCAATCTGACCTGTTATCAAAGATTAAAGATATAATGTAGTCTCCATGAATTTAAAATAAGTTTTTCAGTTTTTCTGTCAGTCTGTGATTTCATGTGGTGTACCACAGGGTTCAATCCTAGGTCCTCTCACTTTGTTATTGGATTAAGTTTATCTCTGAGCACAATGTGATTGTAGGTTCTATTGGAACAGCAGCTTGTGTTGTGGTGTTCAAGACCTTTTAAATGTTGGGTATGAAGTACAATTCGTATTAGATTAAGATGATTTAAAACACATTTCTCTCTAGATGAAGCACCTCTCACTAATCTGACTTCACGTTAACGCCCGTCATTGTTACTTTTTTTTACTGACTGATCAAACACTTGAAATCACCTCTCTCAATAAACTGGTACACATCAGAGACTCAAGTTTTGATTGCTTTTGTTCTTATCTTTATAAAATAAGTTACTCTGGTGGTCTGTAATTTATTGTGGTGTACCACAGGGTTCAATCCTAGGTCCTCTGACTTTTTATTTACAGACTGCCTTTGGATCTGTTACCCAGGAGGAAGTGTAACTGAGAGAAGTGAAATACAGATCTAAGAGGAGACAGAGAGATTCAGGGAGGAGCTAAGATGTTCCTGAACTATAGAAGAGAGAGGAACTTCCATATTCACCAGAGTTCAACGCAGACCATCATCATCACCTTCATTCAACATGCTGTCATTAGACTATTATTTACATTCCCTACTGTTAGTTTCCATTCTAAGAGGTACGTAACATTCTGCATGAAAACGTTAACTTCTAATGTTGATAAAATGTGATCTATTAACTGAGTCTTTTGAATTACTCCTCTCTTCAGGGGTCAGCTGTGAAGATCTCACTGCATTACAGAAAGAAGAGTTCAGTCCAGAAGGCAGCTCTGTTACTCTGTCCTACAGATACTCCAAACAAGCAACTGGTGGTGATTATTTCTTCTGGTATCGACAATATCCAGGAAAACCACCAGAGTTCATCTTCTCTCATTTAGGAATTGGAGGAATACTTAAAGATCCAATCCCTGGACTGAAGTTTACAGTGAAGTCAAACCAAATCAATCTGAGCCTCTCCTCTGCTGCAGTGACAGACTCTGCTGTGTTCTACTGTGCTGTGAAGCCCACAGTGACAGGAAACACCAACACTCTGTACAAAAACCTTTGGAGCAAAGACAACACAATACTGCACAGCATCCACCAGAGGGAGTCTCTCTCTGTTAGACTTTAGGGAAACAACACAACTAATGTTCAAACAACTGAACCCCCAGCAGAGAGGAAGTGAAACTGAGAGAAGTGAAATACAGATCTAAGAGGAGACAGAGAGATTCAGGGAGGAGCTAAGATGTTCCTGAACTATAGAAGAGAGAGGAACTTCCATATTCACCAGAGTTCAACACAGACCATCATCATCATCACCTTCATTCAACATGCTGTCATTAGACTATTATTTACATTCCCTACTGTTAGTTTCCATTCTAAGAGGTACGTAACATTCTACATGAAAACGTTGACTTCTATTGTTGATCAAATGTGATCTATTAACTGAGTCTTTTGAATTACTCCTCTCTTCAGGGGTCAGCTGTGAAGATCTCACTGCATTACAGAAAGAAGAGTTCAGACCAGAAGGCAGCACTGTTACTCTGTCCTACAGATACTCCAAAACTATAACAGCTACTGATTATTTCTTCTGGTATCGACAATATCCAGGAAAACCACCAGAGTTCCTCATCCTTCAGTGGGGAACAAAACCTGCATCAAACTCTCGACTGTCCGTTAAATCGGATGAGGATAAAACCCAGATCAATCTGAGCCTCTCCTCTGCTGCAGTGACAGACTCTGCTGTGTACTACTGTGCTGTGCAGCCCACAGTGACAGGAAACACCACAACTCTGTACAAAAACCTCTGCAGCTTCTCCCTGAACATTCACACACTTCAGATCCCGCCTTTTTCTGAACAACATCGCCATCAAGTGGACACCTCGAACAACTTCTCCTCTCAAAGTGACACACATCCAACCTCTGAGGGAGACTTCAAAGATGAAGAGCAGTCTGTCTGGCCTGTCCATCCACCGGCTCCTGAAAGTGGATGAACTTGTTAAACTGGTCCTGACTAACATACGATTCACTGCAGTGTGAGGTGGAAAAGTTCATGGTGAAGAACAAGCGTTAGATTATTGCAGTGGTGTAATGTAACTAAGTACATTTACTCACACTGTACGGAAGTAAAACATTGAGGTAATTGTACTTTTTTACTAATTTATACTTTTACTTCATTACATTATGTAGGCAAGTGTTGTACTTTGTACTTCACTACGTGTATTTTACAGATTGACTGACATAGCAGATTTAGGATATTAATACGCAATATAAATCGACACACATTATAGTATAGACGAAGCTACCCAGTACTGTATAAAGTCATTCAAATAAACCCCACCTTTACCCCCCATCAATAATTTTAACAACCAAAAATACCTGGTGGATAAAATGGCCACTTTGCACAACGCATACTTTTACTTTTGGTACGTAAAGTATTGTTTTTATGCTAATACTTTTTGACTCTTATTGAGGTTACATTTGAATGCAAATAATGAGAGTACTTCTTCCCCCTCTGGATTGCTGACTCATTATATTCTTTGCTCCGCAGCTTCTTCCTGACGGACACCAGTTCCTCCTCTTCAAAGTCTCCAGTCCATTAGCCTGTTAAGCCCTGAGCCTGTTTTTCAGGTCTCAGGCTCGAAAATGACATTCCCAGAACAAATGACCATATCTTGCCTTCTAAAAGGGTTAATTAATAATCTTTTTTTCTCAAAGTAATGATAAACCTGTGAGTTGGATGTAGAAAAGTCAGAACAATATAGATGTCTTTTATTTTAAAGAAAATTCAGATTTTACATAGTAAAAAACTGTAAATTATAGTGTCCGTCCAAAAATTATTTTTTACTTATAGTGAAAACTACCCTTGGATGATGGGTTAGTAGACTAAAAGCTTTAGGAATCCAAAGTACAACATATAATAAGTACCCTGTATCAAGATTGATGCAAAACAAGTGACATTTGACCTTTTTAGAGAGGTTTAGCCAAACAAACTCCACCTCTGAGGTGATTTGGGTGGAAATGTTTTTTTTTCCATATCTCTGGCCCCCCTTGCTCGATTTTGATGGTTGACACCTCTTTCTGACCGTTAGAGCCAATATAATCTAAGGGGGATTCCCCCAGACACACATGTTGTAAAACGAAAAGGTGGGGGCTTCGCTCATGTAATTTTGCATCAGAGTGAACCTATCTCTAGCTTTGACATCTGGAAACGGAAAAGCAGTTTTAATGCTTATGGATTATCAGAAATCATTTCAAAGGGACACAGACACATTGGATTAACCTATGGATTAACTTCAGCAGCGTTTTTATCGTTTTAATGCCATTGAAGACCACTTTTGAGCAGACTACAGAGACAAGGTAACCATGTTAGCATTATTAGCTACCTAGCGCCACATGTTTTGATGTCTGTTTTTGTTTATAACGTCGCGATTTCGTATAATTGAGTGATAATGAGGGTACCCTTCGATTCTGTGTCACCTCACGATGTGAATCGATGTCATGGATGTGCAGAAAAGATAAATAATAAGGTTTTGTGAGTGATTTTCGGTGCAGTAATCTGTTAGCATTTTTCGCTCGTTGCTAATTCAGAGGCTCAGCGTTAGCATTGTGGGTTTTATTTTGAAAAAAAAATAAGAACGATCAGTAAGATGAGTTTCTTCCCGTTACATGGATATAAAACATTCATAGTTTATTAAATGAACATGCCCTCAGACACTGTTTCCTGCAAGATGTTGCGGGAGGGCCTCGGTACCGGGGTCTCTCGGGCTTAACAGGTTAATGGCGCCCGAAGTTGGAAGAAAAACTCTAGCTCTGAGCCTGATGACAAAATCTAACGAAACCACAAAAGCTCTCTGAGATGGGAAACAAGCTTGTGTTGTAACATGTCTGCAGCCCACAGTGACAGGAAACACCAAACCGCTGTACAGAAACCTCTGGAGCAGAGACAACACAATACTGATCAACATTAAACACAAAAGACAAAACAAACGGATGGATTCACGTTGTATTTAACTGAAGACGTTTCAATAATCTCTACGTACTGGTTTACTTCACAGACTTGGGTTTGTTAGTGCGTTTGTTCTTATCTTTATAAAATATGTTTCTCTGTTGTTCTCTCTTGGTCTGTGATTAATTAAGGTGTACCACAGGGTTCAATCCTAGGTCCTCTCAGTTTATATTTACATGCTGCTTTATCTGAGGAATTGTCTTTGTTTTGCAGACAATACGTGAAGAGTCTGATATAATTCAGTCAACGTAGCAGCTGGATTTTCTTTTGTAAATTTAGGAATTAGTTTAAGGAAATTAAGTGATAAGAGATCACCAAACTATAACAATGATCAACTGCAGCTGATACAACATGCTGCTACCAGTCTGTTACCCAGGAGGAAGTGTAACTGAGAGAAGTGAAATACAGACCTAAGAGGAGACAGAGAGATTCAGGGAGGAGCTAAGATGTTCCTGAACTATAGAAGAGAGAGGAACTTCCATATTCACCAGAGTTCAACACAGACCATCATCATCACCTTCATTCAACATGCTGTCCCTGCAGAACTCAGCTTTTTCTCTGATGTTGTTTGCAATCTTATCCGGTTAGTAGATGGATACAAAATCAGTGTCAACGCTTTCTGAGTGTGGTTCTGCTAAAAGGACTTTTATAACATTAAATAACAGAGTTATTCTTTCCCTTAGGCGTCAGCTGTGAAGATCTGACTCCAGTCAAAACAGACGAGTTCAGTTCAGAAGGCAGCACTGTTACTCTGTCCTACAAAGCTGGATCTAATGCTAATTATTACTTCTGGTATCGACAATATCCTGGAAAACCACCAGAGTTCCTCATCTCACACTCTGCTTCAGGCCAAGTAGGAACTAACCCAATCCCTGGACTGAATATTACAGTGACGAAAAAGCAAAAGGAGTCAAACCGAATCAATATGATCATCTCCTCTGCTGCAGTGACAGACTCTGCTGTGTACTACTGTGCTCTGAGGCCCACAGTGACAGGAAACACCAACACTCTGTACAAAAACCTTTGGAGCAAAGACAACACAGTACTGCACAGCATCCACCAGAGGGAGTCTCTCTCTGTTAGACTTCAGCAGAGTTTATCAGTCCTCTTTATACTCGCTGTAGCTCAGAGTTTCTCAACTTGCAGATATGATGCATCTGATTATCTCAGTGTTGCTGGCTGCTATGAGTCTTGGTATGAACTCTTTGATATCAGTCTAACATTGAGATGATTCTCTAACATGTCCCTGATACTGTTTGTTGCTGTTTTACAGAATGCAGAGCCCAAAGAGACAACGTGCTGCAACCTGAAGCAGAAAAGACTGCTACTAAAGGAGAGGCAGTAACACTTGGCTGTCACTATAACAGCAGTTCATCAAATGACTATCTCTTCTGGTACAAACAGCTCGGAGACAACAGCCCCACATTCATCCTGAGCCGCTTTAAGATCGGCACGGGGAAAACAGAGGACGAGGACAGATTCTCATCCACATTGGATTCAAGCTTAAGATCCGTTCCTCTGAAGATCCAGAAGCTTCAGCTGTCTGACTCTGCTGTGTACTACTGTGCTCTGCAGCCCACAGTGACAGGAAACACCAACACTCTGTACAAAAACCTTTGGAGCAAAGACAACACAATACTGCACAGCATCCACCAGAGGGAGTCTCTCTCTGTTAGACTTTAGGGAAACAACACAAGAAACTCTCAAACAATTCAACCACCAGCAGAGAGCCATCCTGTATTTGATGCTTCAACACCACGCTACTTTAATTGATCTGAAACATTTATCCTAATAACTTTTTATGAGTGCAGTCCACCAGGTGCCAGACTCCTGATGGACCTTCACCAACACTTCTTATTTTTCATATTTATTCCCACTTGCCCTGACATCTGCAGTCTTCAAACCACTCTTAAAGAGCAACCTAGGGCAGGGGTCGGTAACCGTAGGCACGTGGCACGCGGTACCGTAACCAGTGGCACACTAGGAATAAGTAGAATAAGTGTGCAAAATATTTAAATTGTATTTTCGGATCCTGAACGAGACCGCTGCCAGAGCGCGTCTCCCCGTTACCTGCAGAAGGAAGACATGCACGCAACGCAGCGCAGAAGGAAACAAAAAATGTAAGAAATCTAGACCGCAACAGAATTAAACAAGCGACTGCCTGTTTTTCCTGGCCATGGACAGGTTCCTTGAACACAACACAAGCGTAACATGTCATTACGGGGTATAGTGCTGCCGGAACGCGGCTCCGGCACTTCAAAAATTGCAGTACCCATAAGGAGCCCCATGAAAAGATAATCACATTGGTTGCTTAAACATTTTTTTCTTAATGTTCTCAAATTGTTTGGGCCCCTGTCAGTCACGGGCCCTCAGAATCGTCCTACCTTTTCACCCCCTTACGGCGCCCCTGCGTACACATGCCGCAGTTTTTGCGTGGCTGTGTCTTTAGTTGTAAGCCCAGTGGCATCTGTTCATCTGACATATGATCATACAATAATGCCATGGAAAATAATATGCTACATTACAGTTCAACTGTTGATAAACATCAACAGTTAGTGATGATACAGTAATGTTGTTTACCTGCTTGATCATTTGAAATCTATGAACAATTTTACCATAGAAACACATGTACTGCCTTGATTCAAGTAGTCTCCATGTACTTAAAATAAGTGTCTCTAATTTTCTGTCAGTCTGTGATTTGATGTGGCGTACCACAGGGTTCAATCCAAGGTCCTCTCACTTTGTCATTGGTTTCAGTTTATCTCGAAACCCAATGTGATCGTAGGTTCTATTGGAACAGCAGCTTGTGTTGTGGTGTTCAAGACCTTTTCAATGTTGGGTATGAAGTACAATTCTTATTAGATTAAGATCATTTTAAACAGATTTCTCTCTAGATGAAACACCTCTCACTAATCTGACTTCACGTTAACGCCCGTCATTGTTATTGCCACGTTTTCCTTCTTTACTGACTGATCAAACACGTGAAATCACCTCTCTCAATAAACTGGTACACATCACACACTCAAGATTTGATTGCTTTTGTTCTTATCTTTATAAAATAAGTTAATCTGGTGGTCTGTGATTAATCGTGGTGTACCACAGGGTTCAATCCTAGGTCCTCTGACTTTTTTATTTACAGACTGCCTTTGGATCTGTTACCCAGGAGGAAGTGTAACTGAGAGAAGTGAAATACAGATCTAAGAGGAGACAGAGAGATTCAGGGAGGAGCTAAGATGTTCCTGAACTATAGAAGAGAGAGGAACTTCCATATTCACCAGAGTTCAACACAGACCATCATCATCACCTTCATTCAACATGCTGTCATTAGATAATTGTTTCATTTTTTTATTTTTAGTGTCCGTTCTAAGAGGTACGTAACATTCTGCGCGAATAAGTTGAATTACAGATTAATTTAATGCGATTTATTAAATGAATACTTTGAATTACTCCTCTCTCCAGTCAGCTGTGAAGATCTCACTCCATCAAAGCCAGAAGAGTTCAGTCCAGAAGGCAGCACTGTTACTCTGTCCTACAGATACTACAAAACTATAGCAGCTAATGATTATTTCTACTGGTATCGACAATATCCAGGAAAACCACCAGAGTTCCTCATCCTTCACTGGGGAACAACACCTGCATCAAGCTCTCGACTGTCCGTTAAACCGAGTGAGGATAAAACCCAGGTCTATCTGAGCATCTCCTCTGCTGCAGTGACAGACTCTGCTGTGTTCTACTGTGCTGTGCAGCCCACAGTGACAGGAAACACCAACACTCTGTACAAAAACCTTTGGAGCAAAGACAACACAGTACTGCACTACATCCACCAGAGGGAGTCTCTCTCTGTTCACCTTCAGCAGGATGTGATGATACAGTCTAGATTAGATTCTCTCAGACTCACAGCTGTGATGAAGAGCTCCAGAAACTCATTGGACATCTGAGTCTCCTCCTGCTGACTGCAGAGCTTCATGACTGACACCTCTCTGATTCCAGCTGTGAACATCAGACCAAACACAACTCACTAAACGTTTCCATACTGAACAACCACAGCTTTCCCCTCTGTGAACATGGAGAAACTGGCTGCAATTCTGCTCTGTTCAGCTCTCATAGGTACGTATGTTTCTGACAGGAGAAGGGGAAATATGAAGACTTTTTCAAAGCATTACACATCCACTTTGGATTTTGGATAAACGCTTTACAGGAGTGTTGTTTTTTCACTAAGGAATTGATGGGTTTGTGACTTTGGAGCTGTAATGATAGCATGATGTTTTCCTCACTAGGTAACAGCTTGGAAGATGATATTACTGCCATCAGTGCTGAAGTGTGTTCCTCAGAGGGCCGTAGTGTTACTCTGTCCTGTACATATTCAGTTAAAGCTGAAAACCTCCAGTGGTACAGACAGGATCCTGGATCAGCTCCTCAGTTCCTCCTCCTGATCACTGACACAACACAGCCTTACGTGGTGGAAGCAAAACCTCCAATCCCTCGACTGAATGCCACACTGAACTTGGAGAGAAATCAAGTGGATCTGCAGATCTCCTCTGCTGCAGTGACAGACTCTGCTGTGTACTACTGTGCTCTGCAGCCCACAGTGACAGGAAACACCACAACTCTGTACAAAAACCTTTGGAGCAAAGACAACACAATCCTGCACAGCATCCACCAGAGGGAGTCTCTCTCTGTTAGACTTTAGGGAAACAACACAACTAATGTTCAAACAACTCAACCCCCAGCAGAGAGGCATCTTTTATTTGATGCTTCAACACCACGTTACTTTAATTTATCTCTCACATTTATCCTAATACTTTTTAATGAGAGCATTCCACCATGTGCCAGACTCCTGATGGACCTTCACCAACACTTCCTGTTATTCATATTTATTCCAACAGGCCCTCAAAACTGCAGTCTTCAAACCACTCTTAAAGAACTACCTAGGCGCTTCACTGATGAACATTTATAGGCCGGGTAAAATAATAAAAAAGTTCAACAGCTAAAAAGCTGTTTTGGCACTAAATAACTGTTTTGATGTGTTCCAGTCACACAGCACTGAGACTGCTCTAATTAACGTTTTAATCCACTTAAACACAGACAGTGGCAGAATCTCACTGTCAGTATTATTAGTTCTCAGCGCTGCATTTTAAACTGTTGAACACAACATATTACTAGACCGACTGGAAAACTGGGTGGGACTCTGGCACTGTTTGTATTGGTCTGAATGCTACTTAACAGACAGGAAAAACGTTGTTTCTATAGGTAACTAAACAACTGAGTTGACGAATATGACATGTGGGGTTCCTCAAGGCTCCATCCTGGGGACTCTTCTCTTTAACATCTACATGCTTCCACTAGCTTAGTTAATGGATAACAATGAAATAAGTTACCATAGCTATGCAGACGACACACACGTGATAACATGAAAAAAGAAACTGAGAGAAGTGAAATACAGATCTAAGAGGAGACAGAGAGATTCAGGGAGGAGCTAAGATGTTCCTGAACTATAGAAGAGAGAGGAACTTCCATATTCACCAGAGTTCAACACAGACCATCATCATCACCTTCATTCAACATGCTGTCATTACATCATTGTTTCATTTTTTTATTTTTAGTGTCCGTTCTAAGAGGTATGTAACATTCTGCGCAAAAAAGTTGAATTACAGATTAATTTAATGCGATTTATTAAATGAATACTTTGAATTACTCCTCTCTCCAGTCAGCTGTGAAGATCTCACTCCATCAAAGCCAGAAGAGTTCAGTCCAGAAGGCAGCACTGTTACTCTGTCCTACAGATACTCCAAAACTATAACAGCTAATGATTATTTCTACTGGTATCGACAATATCCAGGAAAACCACCAGAGTTCCTCATCCTTCACTTGGGAACAACACCTGCATCAAACTCTCGACTCTCCGTTAAACCGAGTGAGGATAAAACCCAGATCTATCTGAGCATCTCCTCTGCTGCAGTGACAGACTCTGCTGTGTACTACTGTGCTGTGGAGCCCACAGTGACAGGAAACACCAACACTCTGTACAAAAACCTTTGGAGCAAAGACAACACAATCCTGCACAGCATCCACCAGAGGGAGTCTCTCTCTGTTAGACTTTAGGGAAACAACACAACTAATGCTCAAACAACTCAACCCCCAGCAGAGAGGCATCTTTTATTTGATGCTTCAACACCACGTTACTTTAATTTATCTCTCACATTTATCCTAATACTTTTTAATGAGAGCATTCCACCATCTGCCAGACTCCTGATGGACCTTCACCAACACTTCCTGTTATTCATATTTATTCCCACAGGCCCTGAAAACTGCAGTCATCAAACCACTCTTAAAGAACTACCTAGGCGCTTCACTGATGAACATTTATAGGCCGGTTAAAATAATTGAAAAACTTGTTTTCAACAGCTAAACAACTGTATTGGAACTAAATAACTGTTTTGATGTGTTCCAGTCACACAGCACTGAGTCTGCTCTTGTTAAGGTCTTTAATGACATCTACTTAAACACGGACAGAGGCAGAATCTCACTGTCAGTATTATTAGTTCTCAGCGCTGCATTTTAAACTGTTGACCACAACATATTACTAGACCAACTGGAAAACTGGGTGGGACTCTCCTGCACTGTTTGTATTGGTCTGAATGCTACTTAACAGGCAGGAAAAACGTTGTTTCTATAGGTAACTAAACAACTGAGTTGACGAATATGACATGTGGCGTTCCTCAAGGCTCCATCCTGGGGACTCTTCTCTTTAACATCTACATGCTTCCACTAGCTTAGTTAATGGATAACAATGAAATAAGTTACCATAGCTATGCAGACGACACACACGTGATAACATGAAAAAAGAAATTGAGAGAAGTGAAATACAGATCTAAGAGGAGACAGAGAGATTCAGGGAGGAGCTAAGATGTTCCTGAACTATAGAAGAGAGAGGAACTTCCATATTCACCAGAGTTCAACACAGACCATCATCATCACCTTCATTCAACATGCTGTCATTAGACTATTATTTACATTCCCTACTGTTAGTTTCCATTCTAAGAGGTACGTAACATTCTGCATGAAAACGTTAACTTCTAATGTTGATCAAATGTGATCTATTAACTGAGTCTTTTGAATTACTCCTCTCTTCAGGGGTCAGCTGTGAAGATCTCACTGCATTACAGAAAGAAGAGTTCAGTCCAGAAGGCAGCACTGTTACTCTGTCCTACAGATACTCCAAAACTATAACGGCTAGTGAAGATTTCTTCTGGTATCGACAATATCCAGGAAAACAACCAGAGTTTCTTCTCTACATCTCAGGAACAAGTTTTACAAGACTAGCAGAGTCTCTGAAATCAGACACAACGTTCTCTTCTAAACTGTCTGCAGAAAAGAACATATATCTGAGCATCTCCTCTGCTGCAGTGACAGACTCTGCTGTGTTCTACTGTGCTGTGAGGCCCACAGTGACAGGAAACACCAACACTCTGTACACAAACACCAGCTGACACACTGACAAGCTGCTGGAAGCCTTTTCTCCACACTGTTGTACTGAGCTGTTCACCTCCACTAGAGGGCCACATTATCAAGTAGGCGGTGCACGTCTTCTGCACTGTGTTCAACCATCCAGTCAATAAGAAGTGCTGCTGTGAAGAGAACCATCCTCACACTGAATGCTGAACATCAGCTACTTCCTGCTGCTGATTTAAACCTTGTTGTAGAGATGGAACATTGGCTGTGGATTATTCTTGCTGCTCTCTCCTTTGGTAAGATAGAAACTACAACATGTTTCTAGGTAACTGTTTAAAGCTACTGATTGTTCTCCTTTAATCCATCATCTTTATTGATTCATCTCTTCCTCTGCATGGTCTCTTCTTCCCCAGAGTGTAAAGGACAAGACACAGTGACCCAGCCAGCAGGAGATGTCAGCGCTACTGAAGGAGACACAGTTACACTTGACTGCACATTTCAGACATCTAAGACAGCCTATCTGTTCTGGTAGAAACAAGAAGTCAATGGTTACCCAAAGTACATGCTGAAGCGTTACTCAGCAACTGGAGAGAATGCTGCAGAGTTCAAGAAAGACAGATTTGAGGCTACATTCAACAAGACATCAGTTCCTCTGCAGATCTCCTCTGCTGCAGTGACAGACTCTGCTGTGTACTACTGTGCTCTGAGGCCCACAGTGACAGGAAACACCAACACTCTGTACAAAAACCTTTGGAGCAAAGACAACACAATACTGCACAGCATCCACCAGAGGGAGTCTCTCTCTGTTAGACTTTAGGAGATAAGACAACTAACGTTCAAACAACTCAGCCACCAGCAGAGAGGCATCTTTTATTTAATGCTTCAACACCACGTTACTTTAACTTATCTCTCACATTTATCCTAATAATGTTAAATGAGAGCATTCCACCATGTGCCAGACTCCTGATGGACCTTCACCAACACTTCCTGTTATTCATATTTATTCCCACAGGCCCTTGATGACTGCAGATTTCAGGGCCTGTGGGAATAAATATGGAAAAGGAGAAGTATTGGTGAAGGTCCATTTGACCTTTCTCACTGTAAAAATCATTTATTACTTTGAATTATCACTATAGGTATTCATTCCATCCAAATACAATTGTTGTAAAAAAAATAAAACATACAAAATGAAGTTTGACTTCAATTAGAGCAGATTTATTTCAAACATTTTACAGATTTATTTCAAACATTTCACAAACACACTATACAATAAAACCACACTCTAGATAGGTAGACTTTATACTTACCAGCTGAATGTTACAATATTTTGGCATGCCACTCCTGGTAACAATTATTTTTGATATTCAAGCACAGAGGGACCTGGCACTTCATGCAGTGCCAAGGTGTCTTCACCCTCTTTTTGCCAGCATCATGGCAGTTCCTGCAGTTCTTCCTGATACGGACATCTTTCCCATAAAACATGGGCACGCATGTGAGTGGGGGGGGGGGTGGTGGAGGTGCAGAGCCTTCAGCATATTCCAACATTTCTGCAGCAAGCTGCTCCCTGAAAGTCTTCTGTGTGTGTGGCTTTGTCCTGCTGGGGTCACTCTTCATCTTGTACAGCTCCTTGTGGAGAAGGAAGCTGTTCACAACTGCAATGTCCATAAAATGGTAAAAAAAAGTCTTGTACCATTTCATCGTTTTGTAGTAGCCGATCAAAGCGTCAGACACATCCACGCCGCCCATGCTTCGGTTGTAGTCCAACACAGCGTCAGGAACAGTCTTTGTCTGCCACACACCAGCCTGGAAGTTATATGGCCATTTCTTCCTCCAGTAGTCCGATCGGATGTGAACAGTGACGAGGCCTGAGAAAATTATAATAAGTTGAGGAATGTGAGGGTGAGGCAGGTGTGGGCTGGGTGAAAGTAGACAATGGTGAAGCCATTTCATCCTCATCTCCATCACTATGAAAACAAATGTGGAAAAACAAAGAGATTAGATTAATTCCTGTAATTCCTGTTTCCTTGGCAGCAAACATGCCATTGTGAGTGTGTGAATGCAACACATTTAGTGACTATAGATCAACACTGGCCTATACTTTTAGTAAATGTAACAGACAAGAAACACTATGTTCGTAAATAATCCCTCTAATTCCTGCCAAACATGCCATTTTGAGCATACATTACATTACATTACATTACATTTAGCAGACGCTTTTATTTACTATATGAATAATCGTACACCAAATAAATAAGTAATAGATAAAAACAGAGAGATTACATACCTTTCCCGTGGTGGAATTTCATCATCAGAGTCACAACGCTCCGGGTTCTGTTCTGGCTGCAGGAGATCCTCGTCGTCTGACTCAGAATCAACGGGTAACATGTCTGCATCGCTGTCAGCATTAGTCACCATTTCCATTGCCTGTAAAGTCGTAAGCATCTCTTTCCTGCAAGCCATTATTTGACAAAAGTCAAAGTATAGAAAAAGTCCTAAACGCTAATCTTGTACTCTGCTCTGTTATCTGCTGTCCGCTCTGTGCGCTCTGGGTCCTGCTGCAATTCCTGTTGTTTACGTAGTAAACACGGCGTAGAGTCTGCTGCGTAATGGGTCTGCCGCTGGCATTCATACTGTATACTTTACGCAGGACCATATCTATGGAACCCATTGGTCGATTTGAGTGATTTACACCTTTTTCTTAACCATTAGATCCAATAGAATCCGATGGGCAGTTCCAAAATCCACGTAAACATTACCATTGCGGAGGTAATAGAGAAGCAAACGAAGCATATCTGAAAGTACAAGCCTTGACTGCAAAACTTTATACCCAGTTTATTGCCATAAATATGATGATGGATTATCAGTAAACAATTCTACGTGACACAGAGACATTGGATTAACCTTGAGCGGCGTTTTTATTCCGTTGAACACAACTTTTGATCACAAATCACAAAAGGTAAGATGTAATTATTGTAATATTTTTGAAACCGGATGTTGTTTACTTTCTATTTTCTGGCTGAAAGCTCCGCAAATTCGGGGTCGTACAGTGATGACACTACATGTATGGAATCTGTGGAGTCTCAGCTTTAATCGGATATCTTGTTTGTGCAGTTACGATAAGTAATAAGGGCATTTTGAGAGTGAGTGCTGTGCAAAAGTCCGTTAGCATTAGTTAGCATTTTTTCGCAAAATGCTAATTCAAAGGCTTGGTATTACTCTTGTGTTTCTTTTAGCTAAAAATGGTTCACATCTTCAGTTAGCTGAGATTCTTCCCGTTAATCTGGTGCTACACATTAATAGTTTCATAAATGTTAAGAAGCCCTGAGACCTTGTCTAAAAAAAAAACAGTAGGAGGGGTCCAATGGGGGGATCGCCATGCTTAAGAGGTTAAGGGAGCTGTGGGGGGAGAGGGGTGGTGAACGGTACATGGTCAATGTTTGTTTAAAAATGTTTGCAGTCGCGAAAGCTCTAAGCCAATCGGACATGGACAAAAAAAAGGATCAGTCTGTGTGTCGAGGGGGAACTAGAGACACCCCTCTGCCTTTACAGCCATGGTCCTCTTTTTGGTGAATTGCTGAGTTTAGGCACGTTAATAAAGTTTTAATGAAGTTGACTACGGCAAATTCATATTTGTTAGTGCTTTCATGTCAATTCGGCGAACATAAACATACATGATCATGAAGATGATGATTAAATTATGATTAAATATCGGTAGTGAGAGCCGGGTTGCATTTCCTCCCGTCGGATGTGATACAAAAACAAACCGATTATTTTTGTAGTTGTAAACCCCCGTGGATTAAACCACATGTATTTAGTTAAATAGAAACGAAATACGATTTTTTTTAAACTTTATTTTTATTGAACAAAGAAAGAAAAAAACACAAACACCTTACTTAACTTTACAGCACATCAGTATCAATATATACCAAAGACAGTACATATCAGCAAATGATGGAAAAGATCAAATGAAAATGAAAATGATAGGTATGATCTCCGGAGAGCAATAAAAAATGCAAAGAGACAGTACAAAGAGAAGGTGGAATCTGACTTCAAAGGCTGTAACACTAGGAATATGTGGGCGGGACTAAGGACAATGACTGACTACAAAGGAGCAGCGGGGGGTGCTGCGGGAGTGTCTGCGTGCGCATCTCTCCCAGATGAGCTAAACAGTTTTTTTGCACGCTTTGAGAGCAGCCAGGCTGTGGAGGTACAGAGGGACCAGGAGCTACACTGCCCTTTTGTTTTAAATAGGGCAGATGTGTGTAAATCCTTTAAAAGGGTTAACCCACACAAGGCTCCTGGACCTGATGGCATCCCTGGCCGTGTTCTCAGGGTGTGTGCAGTTCAGCTGGCAGAGGTGTTCACAGACATCTTCAACAGGTCCCTGCTGCAGTCTGTAGTCCCCACATGTCTTAAACACTCCACCATCATTCCTGTCCCCAAAAAGAGAATCATCACCTGCCCCAACGACTACCGCCCAGTAGCACTCACCTCCATCATAATGAAGTGCTTTGAGCGGTTAGTCAAATTATTCATCACCTCCTCCCTCCCTGAATCTCTGGACCCCCTGCAGTTTGCCTACAGAGCAAACAGGTCCACAGACGACGCCATAGCCCTCACCCTCCACACTGCCCTCTCACACCTGGACCCGAAGAAGAGGAACACATATGTGAGAATGCTGTTCATTGACTACAGTTCAGCATTCAACACCATTGTGCCCTCCAAGCTGGCCATCAAGCTCAGAGACCTCGGACTCAACAGCGCCCTCTGCGACTGGATCCTGAACTTCCTGACGGGCAGACCCCAGGCAGTGCGGGTGGGAAATATCACATCCTCCACCCTGATTCTCAACACCGGTGCCCCTCAAGGCTGCGTGCTCAGCCCTCTCCTCTACTCCCTGTTCACCCACGACTGCGTGGCCACACACAGCTCCAACACCATCGTGAAGTTTGCTGATGACACGACCGTCATCGGCCAGATCACAGACGATGACGAGACGGCGTACAGAGAGGAGGTCGAAAACCTGACATCTTGGTGC